AAAAAAAAAAAAAAAAAAAAAAGGTGCAATTCCCAACAACCAAACGTTGTCTGATGTGGCGTTGGTGGGTCTACCAAAGCCCACCTGTAAAAAAAATAGAAATAAAAAAAGGGTTGGATATGTGACGGGTTAATGGTTAACGGTCAACAAATTATTCATTACCCGAAATTGGATGGAACTTGGATGGAAGGATGGCATTGATGTATTTTTTAATAGTACAGGAAGAATATTTGTAGTTAACTAATAGTAAAAAAAGGACATAAGATGAATTGAAAATAAAAGGTTTAAATTGGACTTTTGTTCGATAGTAGAGGGATGACTAATGGTATTAACCCTTTCTATGGAGATTTATTTCTTTTGCTCGGATTTGGATTGGCAGTGACCGTGTTGGAGAGACAAATTTTCATACCAAAAGACTAATACTTTAATTTGTCGAGTAAACATATTTAAACCACTCACTATTTTCTTAATTTTTCCAGGGGAGACTCTTATTCTTTACATCCCTATGGCCTATGGGAACAACTTACATCAAATTCAATGTGCTGGAATAGTAGAAACAAGAACCAAACTCGTGGTCAACACGATATTTGGTTATGTCGCTATTGGCCTTTATGTGTTCAAGTCTATGGTCACCTTCTCACCTTTTTAGACCGCTCAAGCGCCTCCATCTTTGACTGAAATGGAAACTCCATTATAAGAAGAAAAGGGGGCAACATTGCTTCAAGCCAAAAAAACAAAGAACAAAAAATGGAGGAAAAATGGGTTGGAGCAATTGTATTGTTGGTTTTGGTAAGTGGATGGTATTGTTCTTGTTGTTGTGGGTGTTTGGAGGAAGAGAGAATTGCCCTCTTAAACCTCAAACATTCAATCCCTCCCCCAACCGACTATGTTCTAGCATCTTGGGGTGGGCATGGTGATTGTTGTAAATGGGTTGGGATTGAATGCAATATCACAACAAAGAGAGTGTTTCAGCTTTCTCTTAATTTTACTAGGGGTTGGGATGTTAAGGGTTGGTATCTGAATTCTTCCCTGTTTTCACCCTTGGAAGAGTTGAAGAGTCTTTTCTTGAGGGCCAATAGCATTTTTGGCTTCATGAAGAATGAAGGTCATTCCTTTCTTTCTGCTCAAGCAACATTTTTAGTTATTCATTTTGTGGGATGTATGGTGTTAAAATTTTTGGTTTAGCAACACAACTGACTATATTCATTTCTTACACAGGTCTAGAAAAGTTGTCAACCTTAAGCAATTTGGAGGTTCTTGATTTGAGTGATAATCAATTAAACAATAGCATCCTATCATCTTTGGCAAGTCTTTCATCCTTAAAAGTGTTAAATCTAGCAGGCAATCAGATGGAAGGAAGTCTCCATATTCGAGGTAATCTCTTATGTAACATAACTAATTAATCTCTTATGTAACATAACTAATTAATCTGATACACTTTAAGAAATGAGGCATAATATCCAATTTTAACATCATTACGTTTCTTGAGGGACTTGAAGTTGCTCATTAATTACTTGTAAATGCATAAGGAATGCTTATTACTCACAAATCCTATGTGCAGGTGTTAAAAGACCATTGGGACTAAGTAATTTGGAAGTACTTGATTTGAGGGATAATTCTTTCAATAACACGATTTTATCTTCTTTAAAAGGACTTTCATCTCTTAGAAGTCTCAATTTGCGTTGGAACAAATTACAAGGAATACTAAATATTAAAGGTAGATCAATTGTTTCACTATTTTTTGTTTATATCAATCATTGTATATCCTTCTAATGAAATCCTTTTTTTTTCCCTCATTGAAATTTAATTGATTTCATTTTTCTTTGTAATTGCCAGAATTAGTTGGTTTAAATGAGTTGAAGGAGCTTGATTTAAGCAACAATAATGTGGAAAGTTTTATGGCTCCCAAAGGTACTAATGAAAGTAGAAAATATGGTTATGAGGAGGCCTTGTCATTTTGTTTATTTCATCAAGAAATACCCTAAAAGAATTAGAAAACTTGATCTATTAGTTTCATACTCATAATTTTGTTTTTTTATGAAACAATAAACCCTTTTGCAGGCATTAAAAGACCACTGGGCCTAAGTAATTTAGAAGTGCTTCATCTATACAATAATTCTTTCAGTAACACAACTTTATCCTCCTTAAGAGGGCTTCCATCTCTCAAGATTCTTGATTTGAGTAAGAACAAATTAAAAGGAGTACTAAATGTTGAAGGTAGATCAATTGTTTCACTTATTTTTTTGTTTTCATCAATCATTTTATATCCTTCTAATGAAATCATATTTCTTTTCCCTCATTGTAATTTAATTGATTTCATTGTCTCTGTGACTGCCAGAATTAATTGGTTTAAACAAGTTGAAGGAGCTAGATTTAAGCTACAATAATGTGGAAAGTTTTGTGACTCCAAAAGGTACTGATAAAAGTAGAATATATGGTTATGATGAGGCCCTATCATTCTATTCCTTTCATTAACAAATACCCTAAAAGAATTAGAAAACTTGATCCATTAGTTTCATACTCATAAATTTTTTGATGAAACAATAAACCTTGTTGCAGGTATTAAAGGACCATTGGGCTTAAGTAATTTGGAAGTGCTTCATCTGTACAATAATTCTTTCACTAACACAACTTTGTCTTCCCTAAGAGGGCTTTCATCTCTCAAGAGTCTTGATTTGAGTAAGAACAAATTAAAAGGAATATTAAATATTAAAGGTAGATCAATTATTTCACTTGTTTTCTATTTTCATCTGTCATTGAATATTCTTCTAATTAAATGCTGCTTCTTTTCCCTCATTTTTATTTGATTGTTTGCATTTTGTCCCCACCAGAATTAGTTGCTCTAAACAATTTGAAGGAGCTGGATTTAAGCTATAATGAAGTGGAAAGTTTTGTGGCTCCTAAAGGTACACATGATCAAACTAGAAAGTTGGTTATAATGAGGCCTAGTCATCTTGCTCCTTTCATCAATAAATTCATAAAAGAATTAGAACACTTAACCCACTAGTTTCATACTAGTAAAATTTTTTATTGAACTGTAATTTACTTATGCATCAATAAAGAAAAATTTTGCTAAAGCTCAAGTAGAACTTTTAAGGCCATGTTTACATTAGTTATTGTGGAGCATATGTCCTTTTCTAAAGATCACAAGTTTGTTACAAGTTCACATCTTTGCAACTTTAAAGCTTATCTTAATCCCCTTTTTTGTTTGTAGATACAAGAAGTTCAAGTATGCTAGAAGTTCTACATCTAAGTGGGAACAACAACACTTGTGGAAGTTGTCTAGTACAGTCAATCAGGGCATTCCCTTTAATTAAGACCCTTGATCTTACTTCGAGTACATCTATAGAACCAGTGACTACTATAGGTAAGTAATGCAGACAAGCAAAAAGAGAATAAAAAAAAAGAAAATAGAATATGCTTACCTATATTTTAGTTTTTCTATTATACATTATCTCAATTTATCCAAGCTGCTAATAATAATTGAATACTTAATTTTTAGATGGTCACACTTTTAAGGAGTTGGAAGTATTGCTTTTGGAGGAATCTTCCCTTCACAATAATTTTCTCCAAAGCATTGGAACACTAAGCTCTCTTAAAGTTTTGTCTGTGTCCTTCTGTGAGCTCAACGGAACTCTACCCAATCAAGGTAAAACATATAATCTTCTCACTAACCCAAAAAAAAAAAAAAACTATATATATAAACTTCTCATAAGAAATTTAGAATTATGATTTGATGTAACAATTCCTCATTTCTTTGTTTCTTATTGTTTCTTGTGTTAGTAATTTCATTTTTTTTCCTTCCTCGACAACTGATATTTACAGGATGGTGTAAACTGAAGAACCTTGAAGAGTTAGATTTAAGTGAAAATAATTTTCAAGGAATGCTTCCCTCTTGTTTGGGAAACTTGTCATATCTTCTAGTGATGGATATATCATATAACCATTTCATAGGAAATATTGCCACTAGCCCTCTTACCAATCTAAAATCACTTGAATATCTCTCATTTTCAAGAAACAATTTTCAAGTCCCAGTTTCCTTTGGGATGTTTGCCAACCACTCCAAGCTTAAGGTCCTTCTTGGTGATGACAACAATTTAATGTCAGAACCTTTCCTTCATACTCCAACTCCAAAGTTCCAACTCATATTTTTGAGTTTGTCTTACCTTGCACTGAAAGAACCTCCCTACTTCCTCCATCACCAAAATGTCCTTAGGTTTGTTGATCTCTCCCATAACAACATCACTGGACGATTTCCATCTTGGTTGTTCATGAACAATACACGATTAAAAGTACTCATGCTAGGATATAACTCCATTTCAGGATCTTTGCAATTGCCATCACAACCTCATTTCAATATTTCAATCTTAGATGTAACCATGAATGGTTTACTAGGAAAAATTCCTATAAACATGAGTTCAATCTTTCCCCATCTTATAGCCTTAATCATGTCCAAAAATTCCTTTCGAGGTCATATTCCTGCTTCTTTTGGTGATATGAAATCATTAGAATATTTAAGCTTACCAAACAATCAATTCTCTGGGAGTATTCCTGATTCCTTTGGCCGTTTGAACTCCTTAGTCCATTTAGACTTGTCCAACAATTGGCTCTCTGGAGGAATACCAGAACTGTTAGTCCTAGGTTGCCCTTTACAAATTCTCATATTGTCAGGCAATAATTTGCAAGGGCAAGTATTTCCTCTTCTTTTCAATGCAAAATATTTATCCGTCTTACAACTCGGCAGCAATAACTTTGTAGGAGAGATACCTGAGTTTTCATTTGTCAACTCTTTTTCTCCTTGGGTAATAGACATGAGCAACAACCATTTCTCAGGCAAGCTTCCAAGATGGATGGGAAATATCTCATTTTTAAGTGGGCTATCTTTGTCCAAAAATCTTTTTGAAGGTCCATTTCCAGTAGAATTTTGTGGCCTTGATAGCCTTGATTTTCTTGACCTCTCATATAACAACTTGTCTGGCTCTATCCCTGAATGCTTTAATCCATCTTTCATAAGCCATGTTCATCTAAGCAACAATAGATTTACTGGGCCATTGACAAAAGCATTCTACAATAGTGGCACCTCTTATCTAGAGACACTAGACCTTACAAGGAACAATCTAACTGGTACAATTCTTGGTTGGATTGGCAACCTACCTTCATTGCGCATTCTTTTGTTGAAAGCTAACCATTTTGAAGGTGAAATTCCTTTCCAGCTATGTCGTTTGAAAAACTTAAAGATAATGGATCTTTCTCAAAATAATCTTTCTGGTCCTATACCTTTCTGTCTGAGAAATTTAACATTTGAATTTGAGGCATCAATTTCTCAATTTCAGATCTATTTTTCAGTGGAGAGTCAATACCTTGACTCAAAGATATATTCATTGTCAGACATAGTGGGGAAAAAGCTGCTAAAGAATTACTATGGCTATGTGCCACCGACAAATGTGTTAATTGAAGTGGAGGATTGGGTAGAGTTTACAACAAAGAGCATGTCATATGTTTACAACGGAAGCATCCTTCGTTACATGTCAGGTATTGATTTATCTTGCAACCAGCTCACAGGATGGATCCCACCTGAAATTGGATACTTGAATGAGGTCCATGCACTAAACTTGTCACACAACAAGCTGATAGGACCAATTCCCTCTACATTTTTAAACCTTAAGCAGATTGAAAGTTTGGACCTCTCCTACAACAATTTGAATGGGAGAATCCCCCCTCAGTTGACTGAGCTAAACAACCTAGCTGTGTTTTTTGTTGCACACAACAACTTATCAGGACCAATCCCTGATCAAAAAGCTCAGTTTGGGACCTTTGATGAAAGTAGCTATGAAGGAAATCCTTTCCTCTGTGGAGCTCCACTACAGATCAACTGCACCAAAATTGAATCACCATCAGTGACCAATGTCTCCAATTATGACATGGAAAACAATGGTTTTATTGACATGACTGTTTTCTATTGGAGCTTTGTGGTGGCTTATGTCGCAATCTTAATGGCAATCACAGCAGTTCTACACATAAATCCTTATTGGAGACGGAAATGGTTTTAATTCATTGAAGTTTGCATCACTTCTTGTTACTACTTTGTTCTAGACAACTTTTGTTGGTTTTCCAAAACAGTCATTTAACCTCTATAGAGTCAAGACTCAAGAGTGACTGCTAATTAGAATTGTAAGAGAAAATGAGTATTCAAGGGGTAGCCTTGGATTCAAATGATCTTAATGCAAACTTTGATATTGAAGTTTCCTTCTAATAAAATTCATCACACTAAAACATGCATCTACATCAATCCCACCAACTATCATTTATTGGAAAACAATGACAACATATACAAATTTAGCCAAAAATGACAACTTTTACAAATAAAGCGCATGTACAAAGCGTTGTAGTCTTTTGTTCTAAGAGAATATGGTGGCAGCTTGATTAGGACAAAAGCTTAACCCAGAATCAAATTAGTTAGGGGTACAATCAAGGGGCCATGGCTCAAAACCTAACATTCATCCAACCAAAACAGCGTTGGAAAAAATAGCACTCTGATCCTAAAATGGTTACAAAAAGATGAGAACACGAGAAACTTCACTCACATTTGTGGTCTAAATGCAGGAAAGATACCAAGAGAAACCATTTCTTTAGACTACGTATGTCAAAAATGGTCAGCTGGATACCGAAATTTGTTACTTCCTCGATGTGCCCTCCGCCCACTGTGGCCTGTTAGTGTTAGGACATATCTTGGGAACTTCAAAAAAGTTGAGTCATTCATTCTCCTTCTAAGAAACCTATCATTTGAGGAAAATCTTTCTCATAACTGATGACATATGCAATTAGTATTTAGTACGGAAAAGAGTAGAGAACAATAATCAGAGTAACGCTTCAGAACTTCCATGCCTCAGTTCACCATGCCCAGCCATACAAGAACAGACGATGGTTATCTAAGCCTTCCTAGAGGTGCATATAGAACATTTAACTCTTGAACTCCATTGGACCACAGAAACCAGCATATTTATGTACTTCTGCACATCATCTGCCAGAAGACATGGCTTGCTCAATCCTTCTAATTACAATATTAAGTCTACCACCACTTTCCAAAGCTCTGACAGCAGCTCGATGAGCATGCCTGTGCCATTTAAGCACGTTGAAAGACTGTAGAACAGACCACCTAGCTTGATTTGAAATCTTCTCAAGGTAATGAAAACCAGTAATTAGCATCTTTTCTCTCTCTAGGTGAGAATAATTAGTACCTATTAATGGGGTGAAGGCATGAAAATAGATAGTTGCAGATTTACTGAGCTACAGACAATGGCAGTTGCAGGAGGACATTTTCATCATTCTCTCCACCCTCAGCCTCAACATAAACCAGAGCTTCAGCAGCAATACCAGCAAAAAGCACCATGCAGTACCTGCTCATATAATCATGCATCAATATAATCAATACTAGTAGAAAAATATTCCTTATATGCATTATTGCTAATGACGTATTTACCAACAGCCTTAAGAGAAAAGGACATGCAATGCACTTCTGCAGAGTGCCTAGAAGAATAGTTTATTTTAACTCCTGTTTAGACAGATTTATTCCACTTGAAATATCAGTGATCATAATTAGAAACTAATGGAATTATAGACCCTATGACCTGATGCAACACAAGTAAAGAACAAATAGATTGAGAGTAATAGAAGAAGATGTTGAAAAAGAGATTGAAAAAAGGGAAGACCTAAAAGGAACGAGAATTAGAAACAAGAATTTAGGTCGGGAAACTTTCTTAGAGTTTGTAGTCAGTATTTCCAAAAACTGACTGTCAAAGACATGATGAATAACAATCTGAAAATCTACCAAATTTTCAAATAGTAAATGAAATAAATATAATTTGGATGCTAAACTTGCATTTAAGGCAAGAATATCTAAATCTTTAGGCAGCATCAAACATCAAAGACACCACGTAGTGATACCAACCTGTCAAAGGTAGAGCCACTCAATCGTCCTTCAGCCAGCTCATTACTCATTTTCTCATCCCAAAACTGAGTTCCAGCCAGTAGAAAAATGCTGAGTTTGGGCTTTTATAACTTCCATAAATTAAAGGTGTCAACAAAAGATTATATTGCTTAAGAATCAAACAGCATACAGCATGCAGTTTGATTTACTTTACAAAAATACTTAGAGAAAAATGTCATTAAAAAAAATTCATAATGACTACCTACCCTTGGATGCCCATCTGCATTGCAGCAATTGGATCTAAAATCACTCCATGAATTGGGCAACCCATAAGCTACACTCCAAATAAATGAGCAAAAGAACATTAGTTATGCTCGTAAGCCAATGTCATATGCCAAGATCATTGTCAAAGAACCAGAAGACACTGAAGAGAACATCAGCCCTTTGGCCACTGCTAAACATGCAGAAATGACCATGCAAAAAGTGTCCCAATGCAGGGATTCATATTTCCGATTTTGTCTTTAAAAAAAACCATAATAACATTAAGGTGAACAATGCCAGTATTACATACCAACAAGGAGGTGGCCTGCTTCATGAACTAGAATCCGATGCCTATACGGAGGCCAGTAACTCGAGATTAAAGTTAAACATGTACCCCCAAGGAAGATAGTCTAAAAAGGCCAGGCGCAGTATGGCAGCAAGATTAAGCCTGATATCAATCCCTTGAGAAAGCAGAAAAGAGACTAGACCCAGAAGGGCAACCAATGCAATGCTTGAGGTTCCAGAAGAACCCCACTTTTTTGGAGAAAGTTTAGAAACTGAAAAAGGAAAAGGCAATCCATAACTATTTCAATGAAATTTTACTTTTATTTTCTTAGATGAAAACAAAATGCTAGAATACCAATCACCATAAAACAACCCAATCGTAATAGAACGATATACATTATTATAATCCCAATCATCTAAAACCATGCATTCTGCTGAAGCTGCAAAGACTTCTACATGCAAACTAGTTCAAATCAAGATGATGCAACCACTTGAAGAACTTAGACAAATTCATAAAAATTAAAATAAAGATAACATCTAAACCAGTAGAGGACTTCAAGACACTTTGGTGTAACGTCTCTTGGCCCCTCCAGAACTGTCTCAAGTGTGCATGTTGAAGAAGTTAAAAGCAAAATTATTCATTCGAGCAGAAATGAAAGCTGCTACCGTGACAATTGCAAAGCACACCCCTTTACATATGACAAAAGACCCATTTTTCCCTTTCCAAGTTCGCTGTGAATTAATACCCGAGGACAGAAAAAACTCAAAACCAAAACATATAAAAGAACACCCTCAGCAGGAGTTAATAACAAAAAAATACCTATAC